ATAAATGAATTTACTGCATGTATAAATATACAATACATGTGTCTACACACATCTTCGTACATATAATGACCTAAAGCCAACAGCCCACACAACTACAATTATTGCAAAAGTCCTTGAGTGTCAATGTCCTGCAGCTTTTGCATGCAACCATTCTCCAACAGACTTCCAACTTACCTGTTGTGTTGCTTTGATTTTCTGGTACATTTTGTTGAACTGTGTTCTTTAAGGCAGTAACAGAACAGCTGGTTTTATACTGAGATTGAATTAAACACAGGTGGACTGCTCTTTAAGTGACACCTTAAGCCATCTGGTCAGAATTTATTTTATTTAAGGCTGTTAGACTGAAATGGGCCAATAGATTTTCCTGCAATGAAATGTAAATTTATAATCACACAAAAGGTGAAAAGATTCAATGAGCTTGATTGATACTATAAGGATTATTTAGAGAGTTCTTAAACATATATATTTATATAGCCCCTCATTGCAGCTTTGTCTCATGATGTTTTACTAATTGATATGGCAGATAATGTGACCTTTGACGGGGGTTACTTAACAGACAACATTTCTTCTATTCAAAGGACTGGTGTTTAGACAGATCACAGCTTTGGTGCTCATTCTGTCACAAGTAATCAGGGGAGTTAAGTTCCTTCTCTCTGCTAGAACAAGACGGTTAATTGTCAAAATGTAACTGCAGTCGTATCACGGCACCAGACTGATACATACCTAAAATTGCTGAAGCATATAGCATTGGCTTGGATAGTAAATACAGTACTTTGAAATTAATACTTTACAAAAGCCAGAAAGAAAAATGCATTTACCTGATTTATGAAAACCTGTTATGTTCATATGCACCTTTTGTTCTACGGTAATACTAAAAAGGAAACATATTAATGAGGAGGAGAAGACTCTAGGAAATTACTCAGTTTATCGTTGGCAGGATACAGTCTGAGATTGCAAAATATATATAACACAAAGAAGTACAAATAACCCTATCTTGCAGGGGGAAAATGGTAGAGGGGGTTTATGGGATGCATTATTATATGGTTATTATCCTGTATGTGGTTATATGGAGGTTATTATATTATAATGGTTCTTTAAACTTCTGGTCTGCATACTCCTCGGCTATAGCACTTCTGCTTCAGCTGTTTGACTTCATTGCATTAAAGAACCAGACAAACCTGCTAAACTGACTCTTTCTCTTCTCTTAATGTGATGTTTGCTCACACAATAAAGAGGTACAGGAAACCAAAGCTTGATTTGATCTGTAGACTTTTGTAGAAAAGGAAAAAAAAAACAGAGTATTTTTTGCACATTACCTCAGTTAATATGTATCATTCAGCTAAGCAAAATGAAGGGTAATTACATCTTTACAAAGGAAACAATCCAAGTTACCATTTCAAATTAAAATCTATATCTGGTCATATTTACATACTTTAAATGGTCTGACAGGGTGTGACTTCATAAATGTCATCATGTCTGACATTGTGGTAAAAGCTCACACACATATGATGGAGAGCAAGGGGAAGCATACTACAACAGTACCTTGTAATGCTTGTAGTTTGGGTTTATTACATTAGCTGACGATCTTCATGTTCAACCTGAACAAAAGCTTATCGTTGGAATCACTGCTCGTAATTAATACGCATTCAATAACCCTGAAGGAGAAATTTGGGTTTCACAGGCAAGGCTGCCACATGGTATAAACGTCAAATTACTCTGTGTCCAACAAGACCTGGGAATATTAGAAATAACCAAAGTTATTGTTTATTTCTGATCTGACAAAATACATCATACACATCATAAACATTTTTGTTTAAAAAATATATAAATATAAAAAATATAACCGCGGATGTCTGGGGGACAGTGATTCGCCTACTGTACATGTAATGAATGCTGGCATACCATAAAGAATAAATTATGTACAGTTTAGTTTGTGCCCATAGGAAGGCGTTACGGAATATCTTCAGAACAGCTCCAAATGACACAAAACTAATATGGGTGAGTAGAACCTGATGTAGTAATGTAAAAAAAAAAAAAATGGTCTTCCCCTTTAAGTAAAAGTTTAATTACAGCAACCTTTAAAGCATTTGGTTAGTGCAAAGGTTAACACTCATGCACTGGAGAGCTGGCAGCAGGCTCCTTAAATTGTCCACTGTTTGATGGAGAACAGGTGAAACCAATCAGCCTTCTACTCAGGGGGAAAGTGCTTGATGAGGACCTCTGGGGGAGAATCTGAAAACTGGTTATACAGGTCCTTCTCAAAATATGAGCATATTGTGATAAAGTTCTTTATTTTCCATACTGTAATGATAAAAGATTCATATATTTTAGATTCATTGCACACTAACTGAAATATTGCAGGTCTTTCATTGCCAAAATCATCCATATTACCGTATTTTCACGACTATAAGGCGCACTTAAACGTCTTTTTTTTCCCTCAAAATGTGCGGTGCGCCCTATGGTGCGGTGCGCCCTATGTGTGTTGTAACTGCGA